TACAATTTTTATTCACAAACATAAGCCTAATGATTCCTAAATAGAGAGATAGAAATTTGAAAAATACCTGTTTCAGTTGAACTCGAGTATGGCAATGCAGGGGTTTTCAGTGAGGCCTGAGATGTTTGTGAGCTTGCCTGAACTTCCTCTGACCTTCCCCAATGCTTTGTTTGCTTTGAGCTTGCTTGAATAAGCCTGTAGAAGTCAACCTGCACAAGCTGAAATCAGAAATGGTGAAGCTTGCAAATGGAGTTACAGTCAATGGCCAATGGTTGGGATAGCTTAGGTGGGTTATATGGAATGTATTGGAACTGGTTTGGGACAAAACGCATGAGTGGTTTGTGATTTTGAAATCAAAATGCAGAAGCTACCCTGTTTTGCAAGAAGATGGTGTTTTTGTGTTTTGGAAGGCTTGAGGGTTGGATAGCTTGTGCTTCTGACTCAAGGAAATATGCAAAAGTTGTTTGGAATGCTTACAAACTTTGTTCTTATCAGATTTCAAAGATATGGATCTTTTGCAAGTTTACTTGGTTTTGAAGTAAAAGTGTGAAGTGATACAAGACAGGCCTGTACAGGCTATATTCAAGCACGCACAAGATTGTTGTACCTTTTCCTAAGTTTATGGAACTTGTTTTCTGCAAAGAGAGGGGTCCAAGGCTCAAGGGAACAAATTGACATAAACTTGCCTTTATCAAAATGGCATAGTTCACTTTTTGCCAAAAATGGATTAAACTCTTGTGTAAACTTCCATTGATCAGAATAATGCCTTAGACCATTGAGTTTGCATTCAATTTTTGAGTGTGGAAGGGTTTAAATACCTGTGAGCAAGTACAAGTGAGGCTGGATAGAGTTTGCAATTTGTGTCAACATGTAACATGCCATGGATCAAAGTGAGTTTTTTCCAAATTCAAACCTTTGATTCTCCCTAACCATAAATGATTTTGGAGAGTTATTGGACATTTTGGAAAGCTTGTAACATTCTCTACAATCCATATTTGAAATTCATTTTGAGATTCCAAGTGGAACTAGGTGAAAAATTTCCATGAAGATAGGTCAAAATCCTGCCTAAACTAGGGCAAAATTTCACTAAGTTAGAAAGTTTTTGGACCCTTATTCCAAAAATCATAACTTGAGATCCAAGCATCTTTTGGGAAAACTTTGTGAATCAAAGTTGTATATTTTGTGGAGGAATACAACTTTCATGTTGGAAGTTTTGTTTGAATCCAATTGCATCATGGTGAAAATGTTGGACAAAGTTGGGAAAAAATAAGAAAATTTCATAACTTAGAAAAATTCTAAGTTATGAAAATTTTCAATCTTAAACCCTAATTTGCAAAATTAGGTTTCTTGATGAACAAGTTTCATGTTTTGACACATCTTGATGAAAAATGACCCTTGGCACTTGATTTTGGCCAAAAAGTCAAAGTTTGACTTTTTATTGTACACTTGATTTTTGATCAATTGACTGGAAAATTCATTTGTCAATCCAATGCTTTTGAGATCTTTTGAACCTTCTGATTAGGCCAAGATGATGCCATTGAGTCCTTGAATCCATGATTGAACCCAATTTGTTATTGGCTAGGTAAAAAATCAGAAATTGCCCTTATACAATCAAAACCCTAAAAATGACCATTTTGCCTTTTTGATGATCTGATCAAATTTCTTGAGGAGTTGTGGTCCAAACTCGATCAAATGGTTCATATGAGTCTATAATGTTGATGTGAATAAAAAATTATGAGGTTTTACTGTAAATTGGCCACAATTGACTTTTTCCCTAATAAAGCTAATTTCTAGGTCAACTGTCCAATTGATTGGGCAAAAATTTGATTCAAGGCTTGAAACTTGGTATGAGCAATCTTATAAGTCCAACATGAAGTATGAAAGTCACTTTGAGCATTGAAAGTCCAAAAATCCCTGTGCAAACTCAAACCCTAATTTAGGTCATCAGTGCAAGGAGATGTCTTGAGCAGAGCAAACCCCAATTTGGTCTTGAGTTCAAAAAGTCTTGTGAGGGGAAATCATGATAAAATGAGAGGGAAAATTTTGGGGTACAACACCCACATTTTCTTGGGTCCTGATTTGTTAGTTTTACCAAAACTCTGGTTGAATTTTGGTTTGATAGAGTAATCACTACTTGTGTATTTTATGTCATGTGTGTGCCCATGTATAAAGTGTGAATCAAGTGGAGTGCGTTTCATAACTAAGTCCATGGCATTTATTGGTGTAGGAACCTTGCCTTGATATCCTATCCCTTTTCTTCCATTTCTGCTAACTCCATAGATCATTGAAGCCATCTTGCTTCTGTCTATGTTTTTAGCAAGAAACTTATGAAAGCTGTGATAATACTCTTTGATCATCTCATCAGCATTGTTGGGAGTTTCAGGGATTGTTTCCTTCTGAGAGTTTTGCAACTGGTTTTCTAATTTTGAAATTTTTTCTTTTAACTCAGAATTCTCCAATCTGAGACTCTCAGTCTTAGGGGTGTTCGCGGTGCGGTTTGGGCGGTTTTGAAACAAAAAATCATCCGAACCGTAAGAGAAAAAAACATGCGGTTCGGTTTGGTTCGGTTGGCTTTTAAAAATAAATCCGAACCAAACCAAACCAAACTAATGCGGTTTGGATTGGTTCGGTTGTTTCGGTTTTTTACAAAAATAATTATTATGTCATACATACAAATATATAGGAAAATATAATTTTATATTTAATTGTTCATACATTACCATAAAAAATTTATAATTGTTAAAATAAATTTATAATTTGATACATAAAATTGCGTATTATAATTTTATCTAAATATAAATAATGATATTAACAAGATTGCATTCTTAAATAAATATTATACAAAGAATATGATAAAATATATTTTGTGAAAATAGTATTTATAAATGAATAATATTTTATTTTTTATGATTTGTAAATTAAAATGAATATAATACAAAGTATGATAAAATATACACATAATACAAGTTGATTTCTCTAAAGAATTATAGAAATATATATTGGTTAGTAAGATTTTATAACATAATGCGGTTTTGTTTGGTTTGGTTCGGTTTGTAAAATACAAACCGCAAACCGAACCGAACCATGCGGTTCCACGAGAAAATGACCCAAACACATCCAAACCAAATGCGGTTTTTTGCAGTTTCGGTTTGGTTCAGTTCGGTTTTGCGGTTTTCTATTGGGCCGGTTTGGTTTTGAACACCCCTACTCAGTCTTATCGGAGTCATAAGCAAGATCCCTTTTCAGGTTTCTGAATTTGACTCTGATCTGCTGATACCTTTCCAGAATTTCATTAAGGCTTTCAGCTAATTCAGCCTTAGTAAAGTTTATAGTAAAGTCAGGGAATACCTCTTCTGTATTTGATTCAGAGTCTGACTCAGAAGCTTCACTGTCTTTAGATACGTTTGCTATGAGAGCTATGTTTGCTCTTTCATCATCTGATTCTGAGTCAGCTTCAGATGTGTCAGAATCATCCCATGTAGCCATGAGACTTTTCTTCTTTTCCTTGCCAAACTTCTTTTTGGGCTTCTCCTTCTAAAGCTTTGGGCAATCACTTTTGTAGTGCCCTTGCTCGTTACATTCATAGCAGATGATGTCTTTATTGTTTGGCTTTCTGTATCCTGAAGAACCTTCAGATCTTCTGTGTCCAGAGGAGAATTCTGACCTTCTGTATCTGGAGGAAGATTCATTCTGATTTTCTGATCTTCTGGGGTTCCTGAACTTCCTTTGTCTCTGCTTCTATAGTTGGTTCACACTTCTGGAGAGGAGAGACAATTCATCTTCTTATGATGAGGATCCATCAGAGGTTTCTTCCACAGCCTGCAAAACTTTGGAGTCAGATTTTCTGTTAGATTTTAAAGCTAATGGCTTACCTTGCTTTTGAGGTTCATCTTCTTATAGCTTTATCTCGTGACTTCTGAGGGAGCTAACAAGTTCCTCCAGAGAGATTTTGTTGAGATCCTTGGCTAGCTTAAGTGTTGTGACCATTGGCCTCCACTATTTTGGCAAGCTTCTGATGATCTTCTTAACATGATCAGAAGTGGAATACCCTTTGTCAAGAACTTTTAGACCAGCAACAAGAATTTGGAATCTTGAGAACATAGTTTCTATTGATTCACTATCTTCCATCTTGAATGCCTCATACTTCTGAATGAGTGCAAGGGCTTTGGTTTCTTTGACTTGAATGTTGCCTTCATGCGTCATTCTCAGAGAATCAAACATATTCTTGGCAGTTTCTCTATTTGATATTTTCTCATATTCTGAATATGAGATGACGCTGAGAAGAATTGTTCTGGCCTTGTGATGATTTCCGAACTCACGCTTTTGCTGATCAGACATCATTTTCCTATCAATCTTCTGACCACGTCCATCCACTGGGTGCGTGTATCCATCAGTCACCATGTCCCACAGATCAGCATCATGGGCCAGAAAGAAACTCTCAATTCTGTCTTTCCAATAGTCAAATTTCTCTCCATCAAAGACTGGAGGTTTGCCACTGAATCTGTCCCTTTCTTCATTGTTGTCATTGCTGATGTTTTGACTAGGTCCTGCCATTTGTGTTTTTCTGACGCTGGATCTTGTACTGACACGGTTAAGTGTTTAAGCTCAGAACCAGGCGCTCTGATGCCAATTGAAGATGTGAAAAACACAAGAAGGGGGGGTTGAATTGAAAAACTTAAATCAAAATCCTTAATAACACAGTATTTTTATCCTGGTTCGTTTGATCTCAAACTACTCCAGTCCACCCGTCAAGGTGATTTCGCCTCTCTCCAACGAGGTCTTAATCCAATAATCTTCAAACGATTACAACAACTACTTTAACAACTGTTAAAGTCTTCTTGAGTATAACCACAAGCCGGTTAATCTCAAGGAAATATTTTACAAATAATTGAACAAGACACTACAACATTTGTTGTCTCTGGCAACACTTTTTTAGGTAACATGTAGAAATTGTTGCCTTAAATTCATATAGGCAACGATTTACGATTGTTGTCAAAAATATGTTTGCAACCCTTGATAATCGTTGCCTAAAATACTTTTGGGGACGTTTATGGAGCGATACTCTTTTATTTTTTTGCCAACGGTTGTTAATTGTGCCCTTAACTGCTTTTGGGAACGATTTTAGAGCGTTAAAATATTATTTCTTTAGCAATGTTTGACAATTGTCCCCTAAAATATTTTTGGGAACATTTTTAGATTGTTACATTAATTCTAATAAAATGCTACATTTCCGAAATATTGTATAAATTTTTTTAGAATTATCAAATTTTTGGTGGCAATCTTCCCTCCAAAACTTATACACTAAAAAACAAATATTTTTCTCTAAACATTATTAATATATATAAAAAAAAATATTTTTCTAACACAGAAATTTAAAAATAAAAAATTTCAATTAAACAGAAAATAAAAAATTATATATATATATATATATATATATATATATATATATATATATATATATATATATATATATATATATATATATATATATATATATATATATATATATATATATATATATATTAGTCTAAAACTTATATATATATATATATATATATTAAAAAAATAGAAATCTAAAAATGTAAAAACTTATGTTATATATATATATATATATATTAGTCTAAAACAAAAATCTAAAACTTATATATATATATTAAAAAAAAATTCATTAAACAGAAAATAAAAAGGCCATGGTGCAGCGGCGGAGGCGGAAGAGGAAACGGTCCATCCTCCACATTCTGCAGCTGGCATGGTGTCACTTGCGGCGGAGGCGGAAGAGGAAACGGAAGAGTGGTTTCACTTAATGTGACCGGTCTACGCGGCGGTGAACTGGCGTCTTCCATCGGAGAGTTATCCGAGCTTCGAGTTTTGTCGATTCCTGAAAACATCTTCTTTGGCGAAATTCCGGTGAGTTTGATGAATCTCCGGGGACTTGAGGTTCTTGAGCTTCAAGGTAACAACTTTTCAGGAAATGTGTCTTTACAGATGAGTTATTTTGAATCGCTTAAACTTGTTAATCTATCTGGTAATGCTTTTTCTGGTAGTATTCCGGATGGGTTTATTTTTTCTAAGAATATGAAATTTGTTGATTTGTCTGATAATCAATTTTCTGGTTCGATTCCTGTGAATGATTCTGTTGGTTGTGATTCTTTGAGGCATTTGAAACAGTCTCATAATTTTTTGACTGGTGAGATTCCTCCTTAATTTGGGAAATGTAGAAACTTGAGGACCCTTTTGGTTGATGGGAATATATTGGAAGGTAAAATGCCTCTTGAGATTGGGCTTACGGTCGAACTTCGTGTTCTTGATGTTTCGTAAAACAGTCTCACGGGGAGAATCCCGAAACTGTTAGGTAATTGTTTGAAGTTGTCTGTGCTTGTTCTTACTGATTTGTTTGATGATCGCGGTGGTTCTGACGCGGGTAGTTTGTTGGAGGATAAGTTTAGAGGTGAATTCAATGCTTTTGTTGGGGATATTCCTCATGCAGTTTTGTCGCTTTCGAGTTTGAAGATTTTGTGGGCCCTGAGAGCGAATCTTGGCGGACGGTTACTTGTTGAATGGACAAATTCATCGTGCTCTCTTAGAATACTCAATTTGGCTGAGAATGATGTTACTGGTGTCGTGCCTGCGAGTTTAGGGATGTGTCGGAATTTGACTTTCTTGGACTTGAGTTCTAACAATTTAGAGGGATATTTGGTGTTGGATCAGCTCCGTGTTTCTTGTATGAACAACCGATGAGCCATACTCGATAATTTTCCCCTACCATTTTCTTTCGGGGTTCTGTTTGTTGCTTTTTAATTACTGTCTATTCTAATTGTTTGGTTGACCTAGATTTGTACTTTGTGAAAACAGGGGAACGTGTAGTATCCAGGGTATTGTCAGCTACGAATGAGGAAGGTCGAGTTAAAGGGGAGAACTCCATCGAACATGTCACATATGAGGAAGATGCTATTGATGCTGACGACAATGATGAGAGACTTACTAAATCATCTAATGCTTCTGATAAAGCATTTGAGGTCTTAGTAAGTGACATATTTACCTCGTGTTTTGCTTGTGATTTGTAGTACTTTGAAGAAAGAATTTTGCTGTAATGGTACTGTTGTCGAGGACCCTGAGTTGGGCCAGGTTTGTCTTCTTTTTTTCATGCGTAATGTACTATTATGCAATCTTTTTATTTCCTCTCATATAATGTGATTCTGTGTGTATTAATATGATTTATGTTTGGAGATGCCTTCACATGAAAGTGAGTTGAACCATATGTTTGTGTAAAAACTAAAAACCATGGTTGAATTCGAAAGCTACAAATCCAAAAACATCACTGGATTGTTCCATTGATACTGGATTGTTCGTTACTGGTTCATATGATCATTATGTTAATGTTTGGGACACTAACACCACTCAGGTTCACTTTAACCTAATTCTAATCATAATTTCATTATTATTTTATGATTATACATTAGCCAATCAAATTTAACTCCTTCATTGTGTTGTGTTGTATTGTATTGTAGGTTGTGGTGAATTTTAAAATGCCTGATAAGGTGTATAAGACTGCGATGTCTACATTGTCCACGTCTCATATGCTTATTGCAGTTGGAACTGAGGATGTACAAGTTCGGCTTTGTGAATTGTGATATTGCTTCGGGGGCATTTGCTCATACTTTGTCTGGTCATCGAGGTGTGTCGGTGTTCTCGTTTCAACTTCTAACTAACTGTTTTCTGTATTATTATTTATGCTGTGTGTTTCTTACAACAAGTGTTAGCTTATATTTTCAGTCAAGTTATTTCATAGTTAATCTTATAAGAGTAAATATCCTGTCTAAGATGGTGCAGATGAGGATAAATATTTTTAATTTATTTATGTATAATTTGGCCCCTTCATAAAATGTGTCAAATTCTGCCACTGGAAGATAACTATATTGAATTCTAACATTATTGGGAACTGCCGTGTCTGTGTGTGATTGTTCTTATTGCATGATGTGATAAATATTATTAAAAGAATGTTTTTGCCTCGCATGATTTCTATGATGTCAGATGGTGTAATGACTGTTGAATGGTCTGCTTCAAGTGAATGGGTCTTGATTACTGGGGGGTGTGATGGCGCCATACGTTTTTGGGACATAAGGCATGCTGGTTGTTTCCAAGTTTTAAATCAATCTCGTACACAGCTTGGAAGACGTCCACCAATACTCAAACGTTCTTCCATAACTAAGGTTTCTTTTTTTAACTTTAGCTTATTCCTTGTTTATAATTTGGGAGATTTAATAGCTGATTATTGCAAGTCATGATTATTTTGTTTGTGTATCTGAGATTTCACCAAGTACTTAATTTCAATGCAAGTATTATGCTTGTTATAATCCCAAAGCCTTATAACTCACAGGAATCAAGTACAAAAATGCATGCTGCACAGAAGAAATTTGTCAATGGCAGTGGCAGTGGACAACTGCCAATTGGCAGGCTATCATCTAGGGGACCCATGAAGCAGAAATTACAGTTAAGCGTTGCATGGTTGAGTTGAAAAATAAATAAAGGTGTTTATTATTGCTATAATTTTAGAGTGAATAAATAATTTAAATGCACACATTTCTGAAATTTGTGGTATTAATTGAACATTTATACATCAAAATTGTAGTGAAGATCTTATTTTTTTTGTAAGAAATGATCTATCATTGAGTTATCCATGTTTATGCAGGAAAAATAAGTCTTTTAGAAAAAGGTTTTCTAGCAAAATGCCCATCAATAATGTTGATTGATGATTTATGTAGATCTTCACAAGTCAAAGGAAATGGATGCAACCAAGTCAAACAATGGTGAAAAACCGGGCAGCAGCGTTAACCGTAGCTCTAATCAAAATCAATCAAAAAAAGGAACTCGACAAGAAAGTGTTAAAAATCGGGCAAAAGTCAACGAAGAAGATGCAATCACAAATAGAGAAGAAGAAAAAGGTAATTAGTTTCATATTTCATAATAATGATTTCATGTATTATTTACATATTGGTAGCAAACATGTGATATCATGTTGTTGTGTTATTACTTTATAGAAACATCCCAAAGAAAAACTCGTGGGAAAACTTTGTGCAAAAAGATTCATGCAAGATACATACATACATACATACAGTTAAAGGCTATTGTAAGTCCTGAATAGTGAGCCAAAAACAGAATGGTTTTCATAATTGATTTATTTGCTAGTAAGCTCATGTCACCTATTACAGTTTAGAACGAAAATTCACATCCATTAAAAACCTTCATAATTAATTCACATCCATGAGATGTGAAGAATATAAACAATGTGTTTTGCTCATTGGTTTAGTTTTTATTTGTGCGAGGTTTAATTCTTGTTGATGTCTTAATTGTCCTTTGGACCAAAAATACTTATGGTTAATGTGTTTTATTTTATTTTCTTATGCAGCAATGTATCAATGAAGATGTTGAAAAGGACGATATAAATGATGAAATTCAAGAGGACGACATAAATGATAAAATTTAAGAGGACGACCTAAATGATAAAATTCAAGAGGACGACGTAGATGACGAATTTCAAGAGGACGACATAGATCTAGATGATGAATTTCAAGAGGAGGATATAGATGGTGAATTTCAAGAGGACGACGTAGATGAAGAATTTATGGAGGATGACATATCTAACGAATTTCAAGAGGACGATCTGGATGCTTTACTCCTAGAAGACAAACTTGAATGAGTTGGATGATGTCTTTTTTTTGGCTTGTAGTTGAAAGCATTAAACTTGAAATATGATTTTTGTTCTTTTGGTGAACTATGTTTTTAGTTATTTTACTAGGGTCATACTTCAAAGTATTAAAAGTAATATTGTTACGTTAGGCATTTTGTGTACTCAATATACTATATCTTGAATTAAAGTTTGAACTCGATTTTATTATATTACAACTTTTATGGATGTATGGTTTAAGTTATATAATCAATATTATTTTTGAAGCCAATTATTATTGACTATATTATTTTGATAATAATTGCAAAATTGTATATTTTATGTGGACACTATAAAACAACAACCTATAAGCTATGGCTACACTTCAAAAACGATCTTCTTGATTCAGGTTTAAGGCAACGATTGTTAATTGTAGCCGAATTTGGCAACGCAACGCTTAAAAAACGTTGTCTCAGAGGCCGTAAATAATCGTCCCCTATTCCTTTACTATAGGCGACGTTTTTCAAAAGCGTTCCCAAAAATCATAAAAAAACGTTGCCTCAAACAATAGGCAACGCTCGCATAGGAGACGCCCAGAAAACGTCCCCTATTGTTTTAGGCAACAATTTTCAGAGTTCTGGCAACGTTTTTCAATTGTTGCTGGAGAGCCTAAATGTTGTAGTGAGAATGTGTTGTTTTTTCTAACAAAACAGTATATCACAACTGTGATAATTACACAAATTAAGCTTGGAATAGAGTAAATTTGCTAGAGCTTGAATTAACGTGATTTGGAAACTCTCTGCAAATTGATGTGTGCGTACGTACGTGCTTCTTTCACAAGAAGACTTGTTTATATAGGCAAGCAAGAGACGTTGTCCATAAATCAAGTTTAATGATAATAACACACTTTCCTTTTGTAGAAGATCTTGTCTGAAGAAAGTCGTTAGCATTTAATTTTGTCTTGAATAACCAGTAACGCTTCAGAGTCTTCTTTGCTTTAACTGTTGATAACGCTTCAGAGTGTTGATGACTTGGTAAAGAAGTCTTTGTTCATAGTTAGAGTGTACTTGTTTAGGCGCAGATTCTGGTCATCAAACTTCAGCGTAAAGCCTGCTTTGCTTTCAGCGTGTAATGCTTTATTGCCTATCTTCTGATGTTGATCCCATTAGAACTTCTGCATATACAAGTCATAATTTTAAGTAGCATATTTGTTCTTTGTATATATCTTTGGATTTATTTATTCTTTGTATTTTGTTATCATCAAAACTCTAATCAGGGGTTGTAGAATCAAACTATGTTCTAACAGATCCAAGTGGTTTAAGCATTGTCCAAGTCAATTTGCCATTTTGGGGAGAAAGTTAACATTGCCATTCTTGAAAAGCAAGCTTTATGCACAAAGTCAATTCTTGAGCCTCTCACTTGTTCCCTCTAATCACACTTCATCTACAAGGTCAGAAGCAATGTGATTAAAGTGTTTAACCACTCTACGGTCAAAGGTACAAGGCATTGAAACTTGATTTTTCAAGAAAATCACATGTTGAGCTTAACATGTGATTTTAAATTTTGATCAACTTGAGCTTCTCCAACCTTTCCCTATAAATAGAGACACTATTTTGCAAGCTAAGGAACGAATGGACAAGCCTTGAAACTCCCTCAAACTCCATGAAATCATAAATTGCACCAAACACTCCATAACTTTCCATTTCTAACTTTGAATTCCAAATACACAAACCACTCATATGTTTTCAATTTCAATCATTTAAACATCATCCATACACCATATAGAAGTGATCCAAACACTTGAACCACTTCTGTAACACCTCCACCACTATCCACCATTTTCAAAACTCAACTCTGCACATTGACTTCTATAGGAAGATTCGTCCACTCTAAATCCAAATTAAGCATTGCAATAGCTTCCTAGGAGTCCAATGAAGCTATTCAGATCATCACAACACCTCCATAAGTGCTCAAACTTCAAACATGATTTCCAGTTTTGAGGTAAGTTTTATCAACTTTGAACTCTCTCTAAAAGCATCATTAATGGTTACTTTGTGAATAAAAAATATAGACATCATAGCCCTGAAGCTAACCATGCCATTAGTTTTCATTTATGTTGCCTGAGTGATGCGAACTTTGAGTTGGAAATTTCTGAAAAAATTAGGTTTTATTTGGTAAAAATAGAAATTCATGTTTATCTTTGATTTATAGCTTTAATTATTTACATGGTTGAATTCATGGTGAAAATGGAACAACTTTCATGTTTACAATTTTGAAAATGGTTGAGAAATGAAGAAGTTATAGTTTTGGCCATGGAGTTATCCATCACTGCGCGGGCAAGGTTGAAAATAAAGTTCAAATTTTTAGAAACAAGTTTATTTTATATTTAATAGTTGTTGTTTTATACAAGGATGAAACAACCACCTCAGTGGTAGAGGAAGCGCGCGTAAGGTATTAATGTGTAGGGACCTGGGTTCGAGCCCCAGTGCAACCCCTTTTGGTTTTTTCTTAATATTTCCTGGAAGATTCAATACATCAAGCAGCGCGCTCATGTTATGCAACCTTGTGGTTGGACCATCAGATCTACCAGTCATTTAATCCAAGGCCTCAAATGTGCTTGCTCACTATGGACCATCAGGAATTAACCATATGGAATCATACTGGTGCTGGACTTTATTCTGGGCTTGGATCACATTTTGAGTTCTCACCCCCCTGATTAATTCTTTAACATAGGCCCATTCATCATTTTTTATTTTATTTTTGTTTTCTGACTCATACAAAAAAACTGTTTTGGGTCTAACTCTTTTTACTCATTCTTAACCCCCATTTTAACTTTTCAACCCCAGCCCAATTATTTTCATATTCTTTATATTTTATTATTATTTATTTATTTATTTATTTTATCTAAACTAAAAATACAAAAAATATATTTTCTTAAATTAACAATATTTTAGTTTAAATATTTTATTTTTGTTAAATTAAATTTTATTATTTCTTTTACATTGTAAAATATTTTTTCTAATTAACATTAACAAAAAAAAAATTTCTAAACAAACTAAATTAGATTTAGGTTTTATTTTAATTAACTTAGATTTTAGGTTTTGATTAAATAATTAATTAACTTCTTTTGTGAATAAAATCAATTAGTCTAATTAGGTTAAAACATTAAACTTTTTCTCCATCAAAAAAACCCTAAAAAAACAATTTCTTTTTGCCTCTCCATCTTTACATTTTTGTATTATTATTGTAATTCATATTCAATGGTTTGTAATAGTAATTAGGGATTTATTTCTTTCCTCCCCTCATTTACAAACATGTACCCCCCCCCCCCCCCCAATTCTCAAAATGTTGTAATAGCGTAGGACATTTAAATTCCGCAATTTATCGCTTTCCTTATTATTGCTAGTAATTTGGGTTTGCATGACAAGACTTAAAATCAAACCATAGGAAACCCTAATTCAAAGACGAAATATTTTAAATCAAAACACCTTGCACACATACACCTCTAGGGTAACCCACACTTGTTGCCTCGGATGAAAACAGTCATGTCCCCCGAACGTGAGATGTTTTAGCAAAGACTCCCGATTAAAAGTAGTCCCTCAATGACCCTTTAATGTTACCTTCAATAAACGATCTTAGTCCCTTACGAAAATTGCTAAAATATCTTACAAGTTGCCTCTTATGACTATATGATGACCCACGCCTGTGCCTCACATCCAATGATATAGCACTCTACCAATTAATGGTAGAGTAGTACTATCTAAAGGAGGAAGAAAAGAACAAATACTTTTTTGAGTAGGTAGATTGCTCATAATTTCTTGCTCACAAACCAAAACCATTCACACCTCACACTTTCATAACACTTTTCAAAAAAACATTTTGTATAAATTCTCAACGATACGAGAACCATTATAAAATTTCCTTACATTCGCATTTTCAAACATCTTTCCAAACATTCCTTTTCAAACAAATATTTTCAAAACCAACACTTTGTATACATTCTCAATGATACGAGAATTGTTGCAAAGTTTTTCGTACGAAGGTGTTTTCCAAAATATTTTCAAACATACACAAAACACAAAGCATTTCAAAGTGATCAAGCAATAAAGAGCCCGTAGATAACTATGGATGAAAAGGGTGATAATAC